TACTTGCGTAGTGGTTGTAGGAACTGCCACTTCCTCAGTAGTGGTTGTAGGAATTACTTGCGTAGTGGTTGTAGGAACTAGAATTACTTGCGTAGTGGTTGTAGGAACTGGCACTTCCTCAGTAGTGGTTGTAGGAACTGGCACTTCCTCAGTAGTGGTTGTAGGAACTGGCACTTCCTCAGTAGTGGTTGTAGTTGTAGGAATTACTTGCGTAGTAGTAGCAGTAGAGGTAGTTGTCAATGTATTGGTACATTCATTGACATTATGATCTGGGTGAGGATTACATCCTTGGAAGGCATCGCAGGTGCCGCCAATAGCGTGGTAATCGTGGATTTCAACACCGGCACCCAAGTCGGACCAAGTATAGTCCCTGCCTACGACGGTACCAGCAAAGTTACCCGTAGTACCATCAATAATGTGGGCTAGAAATAGAAGAGAGAATGGAGTTATTAGGCTATTTTTGTTTTTTCTTATTTTCATACATGTTTATTGCAGAAGATTGCTTACCTTCCGGGGCCATGGTCAACCCACCCAACTGAGAAGCAGTGGCACGATAAACGGTGATTTCACCATCACGCAGGTAGACGCCTCGGTCATCAACGGGATAAATGTTCCAAACAACTTTACAAGGATTGAGACTATCAAGAGGATCATTGGTTCGAAGGGTGAGGGTGCCACGATTGATGACAGGAATCTATGTATCGTCGAAAAGGAGGGGGGTTAAAAGAGGCATATGGACGAATGGCATCGAATGATCAACAGCGTTTTTCTACTTACATTAAAAACATAAGTCTTATTGGGATCAATAGGTTGGAAACCGTTCCAATTACCTGAGCCTAAAAGAATATTGGAAGGGTCTGATTCCGTATTGGGGTCAAGACTACATTGCATTCCCCCGCATCCGCCAAAAGTGATAACCTCGTAGTCAGCATCGGATCTGAATTGAGTAAATGCGCCGTTAGGTTCGATGATAGCAGTAGGATCCATATAAGCATAGCCTTCATTGTTATCTAGGGCGGCTTCTCGAACGGCAAAGAAATCGAAATCGCCGGTGCCAAGTTGGTTAGTCACTTGAAAGCCGGCTTCTGACTCACTAATTTGGCCCAGGGTGCCACCGCCGGCGATCAAAGCGTTACCGTGGACTTGTGTATTGGAAGTAATGGCAGTTCCCCCGACAACAAGACCCATAGAACCGATGGAGGAGGGATTATCATCACAGTTAGAGCCGTTGTTGGCGTTAACAACAGAATTGGGAGCAGTAAAATTGCCACCAACAGCGAGAGGGCCCATGATACCAGAACCACCACCCGTTCTAAAATTACCAAAGAAGATGGCATTGAAATGGCCGAACTGTAGTAGACATTATGTTAATAGATGAAATGGCATTTCTTGACAGATAGGATAATCTTTTTTCTTTTCCCTTCAATACTTACAGCATCGTTATTTAATCCATAACCAGCACATGTACCAGGATTAGGGTTACCAGGATTAGGGTTACCAGGATTAGGGTTACCAGGATTAGGGTTACCAGGATTAGGAGGATTAGGAGGAGGGAAAGGAAGTATACCATGATGGGAGCCATGAGGAGGCATTACAACACGACCTCTTGCATGTACGCTCGTGACAACGAGCAACGCTGAGAGCGCAATAGATAAAAAGCGAACCATAGTAAATTGAAAGGATGTACTTGAATAAAGTAAGTTGGTATTTGAAGTTGATGAAGAAAATATTTGTCAAAGTCGAAAATCAATGGGCTATTTATAAAGGGTTTGAGACGAAGATACATAAGCTTTCACTTATAACAAATGTTGGTCGTAACTCTTAGTAGAAAACAAAACCTTCATCAAGGCAGCAAAGATTTTTTTTTCATGCTTTGGGAAACGATCTTCCGATTTCAATATTTGATTGCTTATTTCAATTGAAACGGACCGCATTCCACCCTTCGAAGCTTATATCAACGTATCAGTAACGAAATGTTTAAGCAGCAAAAATGATGAATAAGACTCTTTATATATGATGGTGTATTGACTATGGATATTTTGAGAGCAAATAAGCGAAAGACGCTCTCCTAGGGTTCCAAGTATTTCCTTAATGCCCACTGGTCTGCGGAAAACACACAAAGACTTGGGTCCGGCTGACTCACTTATTGTCCGTTTAATAAATCGAAAGAGAGCCCTGATTTGCATCTTTTTTTTGGATATGTGTGATATATCCAGTTATTAAAGACTTATGAAAATAAAATAAGACAGTAAAATGACCAGACACAAAGATAATCTTTATTTAGGTTTGCTGAGAATGATAAGATCTTAGCCGCAAGCGGGTGTCAAAGTAGATGTGTGTCAGATTGTCAAGCAGGTACTGAAGTCGTTTTGTAGTTTAAGACGTATATTAGTATCTTGGATACAACAAAGAGGAAGGAATGGAAATATTTGATTTGATCGAATGTAAGGTGGTCTTGTGAATGATATGCGGAAACTTCTTGGAGACATAAAATGTCAACAGACAAAGCAGGGGAACGTAAATGGGATATATATTGTTTCTGGGTATATTTGTCAGCATCCTTGAAAATGCTGCGAGCATTTAAGAATGCGACGCGTATATGTTGATTATTCATTGCCCTCTTGGGCGGTCATGGCTATCTTGGGAGGAGTGGTAGCCGCATCTATTATCAGATCCATATCATCGGTGTGTTATATACGATAAGATAAAGTATAAGAGAAAAGAAAACAAGAGGAAATCAGTGAAGGCCAAGTTATCTTCTTTTATTAAGTAGAATATTCTGATAAAGAATCAAGACAAAAACCATGTAGGAAAAAGTACTTCTATTTATATTTATGGATATTGTAAAAAACTTTTTCTATCAAGACTCTTAGGTGCAAGATGACCCGATAATAAAAGAAAAGACATACCCAATTGTTACTGTATGGTTCATCATGCTATAGCGGTGCCTTGACCGATTGGATCGGTGACAGGAGGTAAGTGGGTTGATCTAACTAAAGGTTCCTTTGACCCGTACTTCAGCAGTTTCATAACTAACGTGACGGATAGGATAAACTATTCCTTAATTCTGCCGGCGTTTACGTTTGTAACCTTGTTCGTCAAATCCATCATTACCAGCCTGTTTTGGTTTTCCTGGACATAAAGTCAGCTTACGACACAGTAGACCGTGAATGCATCTGGTCTATCTTAGCACCCCACCTCCCAAAGCCCCTTCTCTGTCTCCTTAAAAACTTGTTCGATGATGTTCATCTGGAAGTCCTGTTACAGAACACTAGGTCATACCGGTTTAATCCTATCCCTCTTCCTGTACACAACGTATATCAACAACTTGCCGGATACACTTCCAGTACCGCTTTCAGAAGTAAACATAGATCAAGCTGAAGCCCTCACCTCATCAATTAACTGTTTGCTATATGCGGATGATGTAGTTCTCATAGGGCACCGTGAATCTCTACCTTCCTTACTCACCAAATGTGAAGAATATAGCCATTCCCTTAAGTACCGTTGGAACCCGAATAAATGTGCTATATTCGACCCGGCCTCTACCACTGAAGAGTTTAAGCTATATAGCTCTTCAATTCCTTGTATGCATAGCTTTTCATACCTGGGTATCTCCATCACACCGGGTGGTTATCTAGATTCACGAAAACCAATACAAGACAATATCAATAAAAGCTACGTCAACAATGACTTAACTTGCTGCCATGGGTGTCAACCCAACTGGTCTTCCTCGCTTGTTATTCACAAGGTTCTACAAATGGTTCACTCTCAAATTGAATATGGCTTAGCTATAAGTGAGCTTAACCCACACACTATCAAGAAACTTGAAGCCTGCCAAAACAATTGTAATCGTCGAATATATGGATGGTCCACCAGGCCCGCTGTTAATGTGATGCTTCACCTAACTAATCAACCCACAATGCAGGAACGTGTTGCTACCTTACAAGCTCAATTTATATTTCGAGCCCGCCAGCTCCCCTCCTTCTCTCTGCTAAGTACTCTCATGCCCCATCTACAATATTCCCGTTTCAAAGCCCAATGGCGCAAACTCCTGAAGACATCTTTATGGAAATAATGCACTTCGACCAGTTCAGAACCAATAAGTAACAGTGAATTTCACAAGCTAAGATCTCAGTATTTTCAAAAGAATCTAGAACAACGCCAATTGGGAACTAAACTATTCTCTACATGTCGCAATAAATGTCAGATTGATATGGCAACCCATTCCAGTGAGCGTAGCCGGATAATCCAATGGCGCCTTGGTTGGCTACCTGGTGGCCTTCCACAAACTTCCACGACATCCGTCCTACACCCTCTCACGATCCCATGCCATAACTTGTCTTAACATGCACAACCGTCTGTTCGTCCCTACCACCATCCCTGATCCAATTTCATTCTTACTGAATATGCTCCTCACCAGTAAGTCCCGTCGTACCCACATAATTGCTACTTGGCGTAGACGATGGCCTGTAATGTGCTCGATTCTTATTGACTTAGATCACTTACAACATCGTCTTGACCCCCCACCACTCTTAGATCATCTACCCGGTCAACAATTTATAGACTGGTTGTTATCATAGCTGTTAATTATTTGACTGTTACCTTCTCCCTTTTCCTTTTCTTTTTACCTTTTGTCTCTTAAAAGGCTTTTTAGTTCTATACTGGAACTGGCCAGAGCAGACCCAATGTGTTAAAGGCAATAAGTCCTCACAGGTCATTAAAAATTTTATCCAATAAAATTATTTTTGATCGTATAACAAACGCTCCCTTATCCTCGTACTTTTAGGGTTTTTTGATTCCTGCGCGTATTTTGATCTGTCCAGGGCAATTTTTGATATGTAGTTTATCTGTGTGCCCATTGGGTTAAAAATTATATATGTACAAATACTTTTCATTCAAGCTCAGATATCTTTTTTGGAAATAACATTCTTTTTGTCTTCGTCATAATGCCTCTTTTCCTCATTCCTTTTTCATTCTCCTTAGGAAGGTCTGATACCGCAATGCCTAATAAAGAAGAGGGAAACAGTTTTGCACAATATACATCTGGGAATATCAATATGAACAGTTACTTTACCCCTCAATTGCCTCCTTCATTTAATGATAAACACCAATTCAATCGATATACCTCCCCGATCAACCAACAGCAGCAGCAACCGTCAAGGCAGCAACAGAGACGATATGCGACACGCGAAGAAAGTGAAGCAACTGTACCTGTTTTCACAACACCTACGGATATGTATATAAGAAGAGAGCTTAACCCGATACCACGGTTTACTTCGAGTCAACCTTTACACAGTTACAACAACCGAGAGTCAACCACGCCATCGACATCAACATTACCATCACCATCGACGCAACAAGCCTACTCTACACCAAAATCTCAACCGCGTACAAATTATAATAGTTTTCTACCATCCTCACATTCATCCCATCTTTATAAAGATGCGGCGAGTAGTGCATTTGATCCTTTATCAAAAGAATATCCTTCAGTGCGTCCGACTTCACCTATAAGGTATTCAGAAAGCGTTAAGCATGATATCATCAACCGGGTTATGAACTCACAACTAATTGAAACTTAAAATGATTGAATAGTTTTGGATCTAAAGTACCTTTACCAAAGGTAAGAAGAATTGTTGGGTTGAAAAATGCCAAGGAGTAAAATCTGATTAAATATTCTCTCTTCTTTCTCAGGTAGAATCTCTTCATGCTAACTCTTCCAAGAATGGTACTCCTGGAAGATCAAACTATGCAAATGTAAGTAAGCTGAAATCCTAGAATATTTTCTTTATTGCCAGCCATAATTTAGAGATACCTTTCCCCCACCCTCTTCCCCGCACTTAGACAACAAGCTCAAGCTCAGTACAATCAAATGGAATATCAACGGATGATAAAGTTTTTGCACAATTGGTAGATATGGGATTTGATGTAGAGGCTATCAAAGTAGCGATGATAGCGAGCAAAAACGGGGATTTCCAAGAGATATTAGACACGTTACTTCAAAACGCGACCACACCGGCGCCATCGAAAGAAAAAGCTTATGCCAATGAACATATGGCACCTGCACAAAGTGATCCAAACAGCGCTGATGTCTCTTCAGATGAGGAGGAAGACCCAGCAGTGCTTAGGGCGCAAGAAGAGCAATGGAGAAAAGAACGTGAAAAGCGCAGAAAAGGATATTTAGCGCAAATTAGACGGAATAAACCAATCCCACCCACACCTAATTCTGGCAACAGGAGCAGTAATGACCATTGGAATGATAAACAACATGATACACCCTACGTGGCTTTCCCGCCTCCCCCTCCCCCTCCTCATGCACAGTCTCAGCCCACGTCCGCCAAAATGTCTTCCCACTCTACTACATCGTCATCCTCTCACGTCAGTACGCCTCCACCTCCGCCTCATACGGATCCTCTTACTGATTATGCGGATAAAGAAAGAAAAGAAGGCAATTATCTGTTCAACCATGGACAGTTCGCTGAAGCGGAAGTTGCTTACACGCTTGCAATACAATCCCTACCGGCGGATCATAGTAATAGTGTCTTGCTCTACAACAACCGCGCTGCTGCCCGACTCAAGCAAGGTAAATTCCAAGATTGTTTATTGGATTGTACGCTAGCTATTGATTTAGCTCATAAACATATCAACAGTAACACCTCACCGAGCAAAATCATGAGCGCTACGAATACAAGCATGAAATCACAATTGCTAAAGTCTTTGCATAGAAAAGCATGTGCGTTGGAAGGTCTGCATTCTTTCGAAACAGCTTTCCAGGTTTATGAGGAATATAGAACAATCAATGGTGAAGAAAGCCCACTCGCTGTACAGGGTATCAAGCGATGTCAGCAAGCTATGCAAAATGGATCGTCAGTGAATAATGCTAAATGGAAACCATCATCACCATCATCAACAACAGCTAACCAGAGCAGTACGAATAGCAGTGCAACTGCATTCCCTGATATTGACTTTAATATGTTTATGCCACCCAAAAAAGCCCATTTAACAGACGCTGAATTAGAGGAAATCAACAATAGCAAAGCCGTAAAAGCAATGCGTGATAGAGAGAAGCAAAAGGAAGCGGAAGAAGCGGAACGATTAGAAAAGGACAACAAAGTGAATTCACAAATTACTATTTGGAAAGCAGGCAAAGAAAAGAATCTGCGAGCATTGTTAAGTTCTTTGGATATGATCCTATGGACAGATGTACAATGGAAAAATGTAACTATGTCAGATTTAATTGAACCTAGAAAATGTAAAATAACGTATATGAAAGCTATTGCTAAAGTTCACCCTGATAAGGTAAGAAACGCCTATAAAAACGTTTCATTTGATTTGAGTACAACTATAGCCATAACTAAAAGGCGTATACTTTTTTTTTTCTTCTTTGGCAGCTTCCTGCTACTGCAACTGTTGAACAGCGTATGTTAGCAAGCGGCATCTTCACGACTTTAAACCAAGCCTGGGATACATTCAGAGCAGAGAACAGCTTATAATTTCCTTTTTGATACCCTCATTCCTCTATACATAAAGTCTCTTTCAATAAATTGTAAATTTTAAATATTTGAAGCAAGTTGACGAACGGACCCATTTTTTGTGAACATTAAGGCAAAGAAATGGTAGGATTATTTGGACGGCAATTGAAAGGCGAATAATTAACCCGCATCATTGAGAGGTACTAAATTTCCTTGTTCGACTCTTCACACCATTCAATGTCCTCGTTCATTATAGATACCAATGAATTTGGTAACCCCAACTTTAATGCAAAAGCCTGGATCAATTCCATCCTAAAGCCATCTACACTAAGTACACCAACGACCCCTGTCTCTGAATCTAACAAAGAACTCTCAATAACGTCGACAACTTCAGATGAAATAGCCGACGAAGATCGGGGTGCTGCAAAGAATACTACTATACTTGTTACTAAATTACAGCTTACAGGTGAAACCATCTCACGTCAGTTTGACCAAGTGTCTTCTTCTCTCATCCATGCTATGCCTCGCGTTCTCTACGATATTAAAGTCATAACTGATCAAGCCCGATCGACTTACGAAAACCTTCAATCAGTGAAAAAGAGCTTACGTTCCTTTGAAGAGGACAACGCTGAAGCGATAATAGAACAGTTACGACGACCACATATCGCAAAACAACGTATGGAAGAATGTCGAATGCTATTATTGGAAAAATCAGATCATCTCAACAAGATAAAAGAAGAACAAGAGAGGAAAAGGAAGGCTGAAGCAGAAGCTGCTGAAGTAGAGGCGAGAGCAAAGGCTTTGGCAGAAGAAGAAACAGAAAAAGAAAGACAAAGAGAACTATTACTTGCTGCTGAAAAGGAAGAGGAGCGTATCAGATTGGAAGAAGAAGAGGAAATAAAGAGGAAAGAAAATGAACAGGCACAAGAAGACGAACGGGTTAAAAAAGAGGAAAAAGAACGACTAAGGAGAGAAAAAGGAGAGGAAGAGGCTGCAAGACTGAAAGCAGAAGAGGAGCAAAAGACAATAGATGAGGTAGAGGAATATGGCCATGTACAATTGCCGCCTTTAAGACAACCGACACCAAGGCAAAGGGTTTCTCAGTCTGCGACCGCAACAGCCAAAACACAAAAGGATGAAGGAAATAGTTACCTGCAGCAAATTTCAGAATCTGTGAGCCCTCAAGTGAGCAATGTATTCAAAAAGATTGGTGTTCCGGTAAGTCTTTCAGATATTAGATTTTAGGTCACTAAATTCAGTCATATTCAATCATTGTCAATTTCGTAGTTAGATAAGTTTTGGCAATAACACTTTTTTGCTACAAAACGCCAAGATTATAGCAAAAGCCCAGGTTCCATTTTCCATACCATTAAGCTATAATAATTGATATATGCAACTTGCCACTGCATTTGCATCATGACTCTTTGCAAAGTATGCCTGATACTAACCTTCCGAATACCGACTATCTGTAAATAAATTTTCTTCGTCATGTAAACTATCATATATTCACCTTTTTTGAAAAAGGCAGATAAATACCTTCCTATTCTCAATTTCATGCAGTAAAAAAAAACCAAAAAAAAAAACCAGAAATTGGAGATAACTTAAAGCAAGAAACCACTACGTTTTACTTTCAAGCTTTGAATGCAAACTAGTCATAATGTATAAAGCAAACAATTAAGCATAGTCAGAGAGTTAAGTATGTGGATTTTATTCAATAAACAAGGAGAAATGAGTAGCAACAGAGTCTGCTCTGATGTTAAATTACTGCAGAACATGTAAAATTACGATAAATTGAATGAATACGTTAACAAACTGAAGGGCAACGTTGTGATAGGTTCGATCCGCGTAGTGCAAGTAGTAGTTCCTGCATGAGACAGCAGCAAAGGCTATGTATTCTTTATGAAACACATCCTATCTTCCTTCATTAATTTTTATATGCAATAATAAATAGCAGGCTTTGTAGGAAGAAACCGCTATCTTTTATCTCATATAATTTCCCCATTGACACATATTACGCGATACATTAAGTGTCACTTTTTTAAAAATTAAATATCTGAATATATTTATTGTGCTTAACAGAAGCCTCGCATAATTGACGAGGCTGATTACTATCACATTAATGAGAAGTTTTAATGGTTACTCTCAACGAAACAACACAATGAACATTTTAGGTAATGTCGTTGAGAATAGTAAAAGAAGTCCATATAATAATTTTAGAAACGAGGATGAAGAAGCCGAGGAGGACGTAGCGGCAGTTGATGGCAATAGCAGAATCAATGATCCTTCTGGAATTATACAGATTGACGATGGTTTTATTGGCTTCGATATGAATGACAATTACGGTGAAAATTACAGCGAGACTGACCATGCCACGTTAAATATCTTAGACAAAAACGATGTTAATTCCTACTCCGTTCTTTCTCTGAAGGAAATGTCACTTCGGCACGTTGTATTAAAAGCTTCTAGAAAAGATGGACTGCAGCAGCATATCAGTCATTATTATTTGACGAGCATTTTCCTTTTACCGGAACATATACAACTTGATATGCAGCAGAAAGTTAGGTTTTGCCCTCAATGTCAAGGGCCGTTTATTTATGAGTGGAGAAGCACTGTCCAGTTTAGGACCGTACAGGGGTATCCTTCGCCTCCCCATCAAGTTCGATTCTGTGGTTCGAAGTGTATGAAGAAATATAGTATGCTTCTCGAACAGAAATATTTGGCGGCTCAAAGCAACGTTACGCTTCCCAATACACACGAAAATCCTACAATACCTGAGCCTGGTTCATTTGATTGGATCATGATGGCTGTAAGCGCAGCGTCAGCACAAGAAGAGGGTGCTAATACTTTTTCGGCTGATATATCAGAGTGATTAAAATGTAAGAATAAAGTTTACCTGGAAAAGCTATATCTTTTGTATGCAATGATTTTTGTCTTTTACCTTATTGGCTGAACTCAGTTCGGTATTATGTCAAGTTGAAGAAATCGTTAAATCATTCGGGTTGAGGTCATTATCAACCTCATAACAGATTTCTTTATAAAGGGAGCCAGGGAAAACATGATAAGAGCGTATTTCATTACTTTCTTACAATATATTACATACCTTTCCTCCCCCAACTCTCTGAAAAATGGCAAATATTAGTAAAGCAGCAAGTAAATTTGGTGCCACCGTTGGCTTAACTGGCGCACCCGTCTTTACTCAATCAAAAAATATCATTGATTTAATTGTGGATGACCATAAATATGCCAAGTCATTGTATGAAAAATTCAAGACTACTCCCAACGTAAATGAAAAAATCGACATTCGCAACACCTTAGTGAAAACATTAGTTCAGCACGACGAGTGCGAGCAGCTTTTGGTGTATCCTTTATTGAGAGAAAAAGTAGGCGGTCCCGAAGGTGAAGAGCAATACAGACGAAGCTTGCAAGAGCACCAAGAACTACGCCACTTGATGTATGCGGTTAAATACACTGATTTGAAGGCCAATCCTAAAGAATTTCATTCCAAGATAACCGCCGCCATGGATTACTTGTTCCATCATATTGAGCAAGAAGAAAACGAAGTATTACCATTATTGAGGAAGCATGTATCTGAAGAGGAATTAAAGAAAGTGGGCGCTTCTTTCAATGCCCATAAGCCTACTGCTGCTACGAGACCTCATCCAAATGCTCCCGCGCAAGGCTTCCCAGCTGCTGTCGCTAACGTGCTTACCAAGCCAATCGACAAAGCTAGAGACCTATTGGAAGGAGTGCAATAAAATGCATTTTTGGCCGCATTCAGATTTAAAATATATTGATAGTGTTTGTTATTGTATATAGCCATTTTTTTTCTATTATTCTATTTGTATATGAAGTAACTGAAGAATGATTTTCATTTTTGATGTCGAAGCCCTTGCTTTCATTGGCAACAGATCGTTTCGCTTAGTGTATTATTGTGGTTTTACAGTTCAGAAATTAGCTTTGCTTTTGTTTAAATAAAAAAAAGTCCACAACAAATTTAGCCATAATTCCGCTAATTTACAATAGACATGACTACTTCTACAGTTGCACTACCTAAACCATCAACAACATTTTCTTTATCTTCTTCATCCACATCCTCTTCACGTCCCGGCGAACCAAAAAACCGAAAACGAAACCTCGTCTCCCATCTAAAAAGTGCTACAGGCGAGAAGAGCAATAAGAGTGCATCGAAAAAGGATATTGATTAAATCTTTTCTGATGAAGAGGAAGGACAAATTGATAATTCACTATTACTTGTACGTAGAATCATTAATAAGGAAAGGAGCTTATCGCCGGGACTTACCCATGAAGAAAGGATGGTACTGCAGCTTGAAGCCATTATGCGGTTCGGAATTTGGAGAAAGCGATAAGCTTGATTCTGTAACAGAAGATAACCGCCCGTGAAGCGTCGACGTTTACCTCAATCAAGATGACAACAGCCAATGAAACCAGTTGATGTTCCGAAAGATGAAAGTGGTAATTACATACTGCCAATTGAGCTTGGCAGATTAAAGTTGCTATCTCTAGGAGAGATTATACCCGAAGAAGGCTTTTTTAATCAAAACTATATATTCCCTGTGGGGTACGCCATACAAAGGTAATAAGGGAGGCATATACTACCATAGTTTATTTTCAGAGCTTGTCTGTAGTAACTAATTGTTCGCTCATGTTTAGAACTCATAAAAGCATGGTTCACGAAGACGAATATATCATATCTCATTGATCTGTCTCGAAATCGGTCTCTAGTTCATATACTCTATCAGTATATTATGACATGACAAACACATACATATAAATGACTGTTAACTTTTTGGCTTACAAGTGGTTTGTTGTTCTCATCCTTGTCAATCGAACAGGTATACACTGTGAAATGTATTGCGATTAGTGCGTGAAAGGCACAAACAAAAAATCAAAGAAATGCTGTAATACTTACATATGAGGTGTAGTGTCAAAAGTTAGAGTTGAGTGTATTTATAGAACTGAAAGGATAAAATAATTGTAAGAAAGGATCGCCTTGTCACAATACCAACTTTATCCTTTGTGAGAGAGCATCAAAGGGATGGTTTAATTAGTACATATAGTAGATTAGAGATGCATAGTGTATAATAAATATTCGTTCAATTCATAACCATTTAGACATAATGTTAGCCTCTCTCCCAGGAATGTCCAAATTGTGTTTCATGCTTATTAGCCAAGGAGTCGGCTATCTATGAGTGTCTGATTGTATAAATAAATTGAGCTGTATAAACGCATCGAGCGAGAAGAGGAGCAAAGCTGACGTGTGGGTGCACTAGAATTGAAAGCCAAGAAATTGTTTTAATAACTAACTCAATCATCAGATAGCCCTCTAAATGTCAGAAGACGTAACAACTGCATTGTACATCTACAGTTATGTTTAAGGACGAAGCAGACACTCATTACGTCGAAACACTGTTACATGAACCAAATAATAACATCATGATTAAATGTTTTAGTTGGCTAGAATTTGTGATAGATCTATGACCATTGTCCTTGAAGCGGCATAATCAGTTTTTACACGTGTGTGAACCAAATTCCATCATATGTTAATGAAGATGTCTCAAATATTTCTCTCTCATTTAGTCACCATGGACCACTTTTCTTACATCTTTGCGTAAATTCAAAATGGCTATATTTCGGTTTCAAGTTCATTTTTGAGATCTAGGGTAAACATCGAACATCCGCGCCGCAAATTAGTAAAATGGATCATTGTTTGAAGAATAAATTTTTAGTACCTCTACAACCTATCTGGGGTGTCATTTGAGCACTGTGTAGGGAAACCTTCATTTATCAACTGCAATTTCTTTGACTTGCAGCAAATCACTGCGAACTATAGAAGCAGGACAAGTCTTCCTAGAGACAAAACATGGCCCTTAGTGCAGAGGGATGAAACTGATAATAAAATTACTATATTACTCAATACAAAAAACGTGATCTTTCTTCGCTTCCTTTTTGTCTCAATCTCGCGCAAAGAATCATGATAGTTGTCTGGAAGCAATAAAGTGAATTCTGATCCTACTTCCAGCTTATAGCTTTTCCAAGATAAGATACCATTAAATGGAACAAATGAATCAAGAGCTGTTTGAGATCCATCTGTCTGCAATATATAAATAAGCCATTTTGTTTTTTCGAACAACTGTATCTGCAAGGCAATTGATTAATTTTCAAGACGTTTAAATCCTACACATAATAGAAGATGCTTGCTTCCCGCATAATATCTATCTTTGTTGTTCTCACTGTGCTGACTACAATGGTTATGGCTAAGAAACACAAGAGCAAGCACAAGAGCAAGCACATGACCAAACACAAGAAAAAAATTTTCACCACTTCCTTTCCAGTCAAAAACAATGATGTCCATGCTCACTACCGAACAAAAACCCTTCCTGCTAGCATCTTCCCTACATTTTACAACTACGAAATTATGGATTCAAATCCTTTAAAAGATGGTCAAGTCTACCTTAGCGCACAAGATGCCGGATATAAGGTGTAAAATGTATATTAAGCTTCATAACATACTCCTTTCTGGAGATATTCCCCAGCTATTCCATCCGTCTTCTAAACTCATATACTCTAAAATTATCAATTCATACGCTGTAAAATTTTTGCTTAATCCTTACATACGTGTATCTTTCGCCTAATCTTCTACCATTTAGAGGTTTTATTTTTCCCAATAAAACACGTCCGTTTTGTAACTTAATTCACATGCTTAATTTCAGCTTAAAAATTATGAAACAAACAATTTTCTTTTCGGATTGATTGATCTGCGCAAACAAGAATATCTAAACACAGCCACTGTTTTAAATGTAGACGCAAAATAACGTAATATGAACACATGTCAATAAGCACTCTTCAAACAGTATCCTAACTTTTTTTTCATTTTCTGCCCTAAAATTTCAAATAGGGTAGGTACGAGTTGATAATACTGAGAGGTGAGTTAATCAAACTGGAAAAAAAGAGTACTCCCGAGAATATATATAAAAAGCTGATTTATCAGACTCTCTAACACTTTTTGTATTCTTTGTTGCATAAATAGTCCATTTGGTTTTTGGGTGGTAAACAAAGGAAGCCAAGTAATGACTAAAACTTGATCTTGTCTGAACATATGCTTATGCTGGCTATCATACATTATGTTTTAGTGTCATGGCTCGCCTCTTATTGTTCTAACTCATGGTTTCTTCTGCTGGCCTCGTTGCTCGAACTCGCTACTACCAGATGTATATGCTGTACCTTTCCTAATCAGAAACGGTACATGCGCTCACAACCGATGGCTGTAATACCTTTTGGGTAAGAAATATAAAGAAATGAACAAGACTGCCAAAAGCCCTCAATAACACTACTCTTTCTGTCAAATGTGTCAATAGTATAACCCAATAGAAGTATTTTCACTCTTGGAGAACAATATTCTTATATGGGCGTTTTCATAGATATAACAAGAGAATGCTTTGAGAAGTATACAGTGAACAACTGTCGTGAGGAAGTTCAGATAAAGAAAAGCTGAGGGAGAACAATGAGAGATAAAAGAAAATATGTCTGCCTGGCTTGCAATTTTTATGAGACACCCTATTACCTTTGAAAATTTTTTTTATAAAAGAGCAGTTGCATACAGTGCTTCCATGACAAAAGAGACGAGATTTTATTGTTTGTGATTCATGCTACCGAAAATACTTCAAAAGGGTTCTCTAGTTGACTAAAGGACGGTATAGCAGTACTAATGAAGAGCATGAATGCTCAAATTCCCAACCTGCAGTTGGCGCAGTTCTATTTAGCTCTTTTTCTGTTGACCGAACCCGACACTTCTATCACTGAGGGCATTTTACTACCAATGCAAATTTCAGAGATGTCCTGTATCTACAGATATCTTGATTGAATGTCCTTAAGCGTAGATAAAACTTTTTCCTCAAGATTTTGCACAAATGTCTTGGGAGCAACATAATTCTCGTTATCTTCTATTCCATTATCACGGAAATACTCTACACTGAAGATATGCTGGACTCCCACTTTATCAATTTCATCAAATAACGCTTTTAATTCTTTAACGGCTTCCTCATGTTTCACCATTTGTTCATAGAAAAGTACCTGACAGCTGAGAAAGAAGTTTTGTTAAATTTCGTTGTAAGGTACATAACGAAACTGTTCCTTTTTGAGTATATTTATAATTACCTAACAAGACCACGAAGTCTTCCGATTTCCTTGCCAATAGAGAAACCTTCGAGATAGCCGGTATCAAATCCTCTTTGCATGTTCACTTCTTTCCCTTCCACAATGCCTTCTTTATAGCCAATCTATTAAGAGATGAAACAGCAAAATTCGGCACATTTAGTATTTAACTTCACAGGCAATAAGATCTAACAGATTAGCACAGGCGATGTCAAAACTCACTGTACGTTGCCGTGATCTTCCTGTATCTTTTCCCACTCCTTCTCAGCTAATCTTCTATCATACGTAGTTTGATCTTCATCATCATCAGTAGTTCCCCAAACGTCGTCAATAGCGGTATATTCTGTGTTGGTCATAATTTAAGGATAAAAAGCTTGAAAATAATTCCTTCTCATGATTTGTTTCTCTACTCAATCTTTTTAAGTGACCGATTTTTAGACAGCAGCATTTCGGTTGGCAAGCATAAGCAACAAGGTGAATGATAGAAGAGGGTCACTTTCCATAAGGAAGTCAATTCTTCAAATCAATTGAATACAAACAATAAGCAAAAGACAACCCAATGATAGTCATGAACATGTATTTTAACAATAACGATAAAAATATACAATTTATTCATTAACTATCAAAAACTATCGACAAAACAGAACTACTTCCATTAATATAAACGTGCTTTTTGTGTGGAAGCATCGGTTAAGAGAACATACTATGTCACTCAGTTAGCACACATGAAAAACATAGAGCACTTATATCAGCTTACCTGAACGCCTAACCATTTTTTCTCCGATACTTTTCCATCCTTATCCTTATCGTAGATCACGATTGCTTGATCTGTAGTTCCAACTGGAATGAATAATCTATTTTAAAGCTGTTTAGCACAATTAGATCATACTCCTTGCCCAAAATAGTAACGAACCTCCCAGGTGAATTAAGTTGATCTATTAAGGCATCGGGCTTTGATGGAGCAGCAGCCCCAACGTGTATGCAATCATACGGACCTTCAGACTTGTAGCCCAAACGGCCGTCTCCTTCGATTAGCTTTAATAATCCATTATCAATCCATTCAGAATGGCTTTTTCGGCAATTACGAATTGATGCTTCCACTAACTCTTTTATATGCTCGACTCCAACAACCTTGCCTCTCTCACCAACCTTTTGAAAATTAGGTTATGGATTAACAGACTTCATCATGCTGCCGATCATAAAAAAAGTAAATGAACTAACCATATGAGCCATGCATGCTGATAGATAGCCAGATCCGGAACCGATATCAAGGGCTATAAAAAATTGCTCCTTCAGAAAAGATCGTCCGATATCAGGGTTTATTGCTTTAAACCGTTGGCATACCTTTCATGCCTGGTCTTAGGTATGGTTCCAACATCTCTAAAGCGTAGCCATGCATATGCCTATACAAGTGAACAGTTTTAGTCATGTTTTTTTGGCTTAATTCCTTCCTTAACTTTCATTTTCATTCTGCAGCATACGGAGCGGAAATAGTAGCGCCATATCCGATCGATTCAGGGTTATCAATAAAAGCATTTCTAGGGCAGAAATCCTTTCTAAAATATGGAATAATAGGTTAGAATTATCATCTATATGCCAGTATGACTTCAGAGCGCACCTGTTCACTGCCTCCATTGCCTGAACAACTCGTGAGTTGCTGATGATCTCATTTTTCAACAAATTTGCAACCAAATCTTTATTTGTTTTTGCTATAAAACAAAATAGCTTGTTATACACCCATTTTATGGTACATGAAAATAACTGAGTAGTATATTTTACCAGAACAAAACCAAGCCATAGTAATAAATATGTCTACATGAAACAAGAAGGATTTACTTGGTTATCGAATCTTTTAAAATGAAATTCTGCTGACTTTATATTGCTTTCGTAGCATTACCTTGGGGAAATTAAAGATCCGTAGAATGTAATGTTGGATCCTTGTTTAAACAGATTTCAATCAAAATAGTAATCGATTTTGGGGTTACCTGTGCCTGTTAATCGATGTTTAGTTACTTATTCTAATGCTTTTAGATTCTTAATATGTAGACAATATTTCGTCCGTTTAAGTTCATAATTGTGTTGAAGCTTTCTTGAATAATCTCGTTTTGTCGCATACCTGATAAGTAGGAACCTATGCGGAAAGCTCTTATCTAACAGGATTGTGGATTACTCTCCCTTTTCGAGTATAACTTGAATCGAGGTATACACTGTTATCAGAAAAGGGTAAGGGTGTTAGGGGACATAGTAGGGCGACAATCGGTTCTCATTCGATAGTCCTTCTGCTTCTTTTCCAATGAAGTCCTTTTCAACCATATTTTTTTTTTAGATTTATGCCGGATTTTTTAAGATGCATAATTTTGCTTTGCTAGATTTCAGTATTTGGCAAAACAGGACAGCATTTCATGTAGACGCCAGATATATTAGTTGAAATGCTTCTGTTATATTAGAATCTGCGCAAGTAGAATACCTCAGTTATTGAACACATTTGTTGAATTACGTGATGATCTTTCTACCTCCATTTGGTGCACCTAACGAACAATGTTCAAAAATATTACGTTTAAAGAGAGGTTTTTATTGACAAAATATTTTCTTTAAAACCCAGTGGGCACAATGTTATATAAAATTGCCCGGGGCAGATCCTACTGTTTATAAAGTATCTAAAAAGCCCTTCAAGATCAAGGGTAAAAACGAGTTTATCACAAGGTTGAGTGATTATGAGGAGACATCCATTGGAGCAGTAAAGATCCTAGAGCAACACCCAAGGGTGGGGGTTCTTTGACGTGGAATAGATAGTCTAGCTCATATAGTATGTAGCAGAGGATCGGCCATTGGTGTTCCCATTGACGTTTTATCATAGGTTGTCTTGGCGGGTGGTTAGGTAGCTGATTTAGATGATACGAAAGGGGATCTTCTATTTGCTGTGGTTGCTGCAAACGCGAGTGCATATGCAGGCATTGGATCGAGTGTGTCTTTGTTAACAATGCTGAAGGGTGCCGGATGCAGTAGGTGGTGTTACCACTAGGTAACCAACCAAGTCGCCAACGAAGACATCGACTTCTTTCTTCTCTTGTCATTGGGAGCCATAGTATGGGATCTAAACTTACTGTTGGGCGGCAGACGGATATAAGCTTAGAGTTTGTTGGGGCGCTTTGCATTGCTTGTAGGGATTCTGTGCGAAAGTCTCTCAGGGACTGTTTAAGATTTTTCTGATCCATTGTCTGGGCGTTTTCCTTGGTTCTTTGCCAGAGAGGTGTACGAGATAGCTGAATCCAGATAGAGGAGCTATTTGGTTGTTGTACATATGGCAGCAGTAGGGACAGTAGGGCATCATCTGGGAGTGTTTGTGATCGTAACAGGAATTTAGCCTGGAGAGTGTAGGCTCTTTCTCGCATTGAGGGTAAGTTGGCTAAGTGACGCATTATATTGACAGAGGATCGAATTGACCCACCAAATATCCTGCGAATGCATTTGTTCTGTACGTTTTCCAGTTTCATATGATTTGTCCTGTTCAGTTTGCTTATCGCCAATCCGTATTCCAGTTGAGGGCGGACCAGATGAGCGTAGAACCTGAGAGATAGTAGCTTACTAAAGCCGTTAGGGTTGACTCCAATCGACGATAAGGTGTTCATAGTAGCCAGGGCTTTGGTTGTGTTGATATGTATGAGCTCTTGAGTGTCCAGGTAACCACCGGGCTTGAAAGGAACTCCCAGATATGGGAAGGAATTGTTGCTTTGTAGTGTGGATCCATAAAGGAGATATTCCATCGTTGGTTGATCAGAAGAAGCCAGTATTACACACTTATCAGGGTTCCATCGGTAACCACGGGAGTAACTATGCTGTTCACATTTTTGAAGTAGGGATTGCATTTGGGATTCTTCGGCAATCAAATTTCAAAAATATTACGTTTAAAGAAATCTTTTTATTACAATATTTAAAACCCAATGAGCACCAAAAATTGCCCGGGGCAGATCCTAAAGTTTCTATAGTATAAACTATATATTGCTAAAAACCCCTTTGGGAACAAGGGTAAAAAAGGAATTAATCAGTTGTTACTATGTGAGGGCTGGGTCAACCATTGTAATAGGGCGTAGCCTAGTGAGGGGTCTGGTGGAGGTGGATCCAATCCATGAAACAAATGGTCGAGTTCATAAAGAATGTGGCAAATGACCGGCCAACGGACGGTCCATGATTGGCGAGTGACAGCTGATCGAGGGGGGCGAGTGGGAAGTTGGTTCAATAGATTAGACAATGGATCTAGAATTGATATTGGCATCATCAAACGTGGATGCATCTGTAAGCACTGTATAGCATGTTGTTTTGTCATGATGGTGGTGGGATGGTGGAAGCAGAAGTTGGAATAACCACCAGGTAGCCATCCAAGACGCCATCGGATGCAGCGGCTACGCTCTTCGCTAGTCATCGGAAGCCAGAGTATAGGGTCTAAGCTGATGGATGTCCGACACGCAGAGAGTAACTTTGAGTTCTGGTGTGATTGTTGCAGTTCATATAGGGTTTCTGTTCGAAACTCACGAATGCATTTGTTAAGGACTTTACGATCAATAGACTGTTGTTGTTGAGCTCGGTTCCAAATAGGAGAGCGGCTTAGACGAAAATAGGTTGATTTGCTGGAGGGATCTTGGATGTAGGGGTGCAGTAAGGTTAGTAGAGCATCATTTGGTAAGTGGTGAGAACGAAGTATGTGTTTAGCCTGGAGAATCGCACAGCGTTCTTTCATGGATGGTAGATCAGCCATGTGGAGCATTACTTTTACGGATGAACGGGACGAACCACCAAAGATCCTTCGAATACAGGTATTTTGGGCCTTCTCTAGTCTGAGGATGCTAGCAGAGGTGAAAGGACATATAGCTGCACCATACTCTAGTTGAGGCCGGATCATTTGAGCATAAAATCGAAGAGCCAAGAGTTTCTCAAAACCATGGTTATTTAAGCCAATAGAGCTGAGGATATTCATCGTAGCCAATGCTTTCGTGGTATTGATACGGATTAGTTCGTTGGGATCCACATAGCCACCCAGGCGGAAAGGAACACCAAGGTAGGGAAATGAGTTAACTGACTTTAAGGGGGATTCATAAAGGCTATAGGTCATAGGGTCATGGTGAGGATCGAGAATAACACATTTATCAGGGTGCCAGCGGTAACCAAGGGCGTAACTGTGATTTTCACATTGATGTAATAGATGTTGTAGGTGGTGTCGGTTTGCAATCAGTACCACATCATCAGCGTATAACAGGCAATTCAGCCGAGTGGCTAGTTCACAAGGAGTCAAAAATATTACAGTGTTTTTACTTCCGTACGAGACACTCTTGAATTTTTAGTGGATAATCTGAGTTTTATTTGGAGACGTTTCTAGGTAAACCAGGACACGAATTGAAATATCCTAATAGACAAAATCAGCCTTTCTTTCGTCTATTCAGTACATTTATTGAACTGACCAATCAGATTGCAGCATTTACAACCAACAACTACATTTCTACACTCAAGATCTCTAATCATCGATCAACCCATGACGATCGAATCACAAACCAAGCATGGGACTAACTGGTCAACCATCGTGGCCAAAGGTTTAAAAACCAAAGTACCCCTTCCTCGAAGTCAGTTTGATATTTCAGGAAAAAAAGAGTTGTACACTGTCGAAACTATTTTCGAAGAACCTGAGGTCGCTGAATACCTCCGTTCTCAGCGTATACAATCCATTGTACAGACTGCTCTCATGCCCGGAGCTGTTATATTTAGCTTACCTAGCAGATTGTTTGAACATCAATCTGAAGCTTTTAAATTAGTAATCGATCAGATTGGACCGGTCGTGGGCAATTACTTTAACCCGGTATCGCTCCGTGGCAACCGTACACGCGGGGATTTGGTTTTCTATACCCGTTTTAGAGACGCTCATTGTACTCGTGTCGCCATAGAGGAGGGTATAACGCACAACGGTGTGCAGTATAAGGCTTATCCTTACAAGGACAGGACTGAAGCCAATGATCATTGCCGTGTAACCATGACATTGCCCTACGGAGCAGAGTCTGATGAGCTGATTGACAAGCTCAAGGAGTCAATGTCCAATTATGGCCGGGTGCTTCAAATCAAGCAACGGTTGAATCATGGTTTCTTCGAAGGAGATATTTCTGTTTTGCTCGACTGTCAAGTAGCTGACGGGTCGCCGTCATATCAAGCCCTGCAGCGTATGCTGTATTTAGAAGCCTGGGACGTCACGGTCCCAGTTAGTTACAAAGGTGCAAAGCCCATCTGTTACTACTGCCGTAAAGAAGAGCATGTTAAAAAAGATTGCCCAACTTTACAAAAACTAGTCTGCTTCCGTTGTGGTGGTCATGGACACACTCAGCGTCGTTGCCGTGTCCCCGACGTAGAGCCCCTTTTAGCAGAACCTGCACCAAAAGAAACCTCGTTTACTGAGGATTTAGATGTCTATGAAGCTATTACATCACAACAGACATCTAAAGATGAGAACAACTCGCAGTCAACCATGGCATCGGATATTGATGAGATAAGGGATATCAATAATAGTGCTACTCAGCCAGTACATTTATCCGAGGATCAGGACGCACACATGCTTGATTACGGGGTAGAATCCCATTTGAGGTCAACCCCAGATATAG